TCGCTGACATGTTTACGAAATCTCTCGCGCCCGATACACTTTTGAAGCTCATTAAACTCAGTGGAATGAACGTCCATGATTAGGGGGAATGTGAGAACTAGACGCTTAGCCCTAATTAATCATGTGACAAATGAGACATTAAAGTTCGCACCACTTACCCGGAACCAAATAGCACGACGAGTATATGAAGGGAAGAGAATTCCCTCTAGAGATCTTTTTAGAAGGTCAGTTGACACAAAAGTGGTTTTAGTTTTTCCTAAATAAAGGTTTATTTCCACACGCTAGTACATCATGTCGAATCCGATATCTCAACTGTACCAGTTGGGAACCACTTGTGGACAGGACATTGAGTTGGAATATCCTGTACTCAAGCAGAAATACAAACACGTATTTGGCAGGCGCGTCCGCGATATGCGATGGGAGAATCTCATCGGACGCCGTGAGCCTACATTAAATGTGAGCCTTCTTCTATTAAGTTGAAGCAGCGCACACATTCTATTTACTCAAAGAGTACCCACTGTCCCGGATCCCAAGAAACACAACCTCACGATAGCCCCCACTGTTGCCACGCACTTAGTTCTGCTCGCCACAGCACCCATCAAAATCAGCATGTCTCTCCCCGCCAGAAACCCCAAGCACAACCCGCTCTTCATCCTCAAAACGTGCAAGGCGCTAAATGGGCGTCCGGCTTATATTGCCGGTCCCATGGTGCGTTACCTGAAGCTCCCGTTTCGCGAGTTGGTCAGGCACTACAACACCGACATCGTGTATACGCCGATGATCTTGGCCCGGGAGTTTGTCCGAAACGAGACCGCTCGTATCAGCGACTTCACCACCAACGAGCGGGACCGCAGCGTCATCGTGCAGGTCGGCTGCAACAATGTCGAAGATCTTTTGAAGTTTGTCGAGATGATCCATCCGTACGTCGATGGAATCGGGCTCAACTGCGGGTGTCCGATCCGCGAACAGGTGCGCGAAGGTATCGGCGCTGCTTTGATGTCGGAGCCCGAGCTCGTGGCCAGCATGGTCAAGGCTGTCAAAGACAAGTACGGAGACCGTGTGTGTCTCGAAACCAAGATCCGCATCCACAGCAATCTCGACGAGACGGTGCGGTTTGTCAAGATGGTCGAGGCTGCGGGCGTGGACTTCATCACAGTGCACGGACGGACGAAAACAACACGGCTGTCTGTGCCAGCAAATTTTGACGCGATCAAGTTGGTCAAGGAGTCCGTGGGTGTGCCTGTGGTGGCCAACGGCGACTGTTTCCTGTTCGATGATGCCACGAAGATCGCGGACTTTACTGGCGTGGACGGCGTCATGGCCGTGCGGGGCATCTTGTCCAACCCGGCACTTTTCGCGGGCTTCGACAAAACGCCATGGGCGGCCGTCGAGCGTTTCTGGCACTTGGCCACAAGCTACGGATTGCCCTTCCGCATCACTCAGCACCACTTATCGGAGATGATGGACAAGCTCATCCCACGCAAGTACTTGAAGGAGATGAACGAGCTCACCAACTTGGTCGATCTCATCGACTGGTTCGACTTCCACTTCATGCTAAAACGGGAGGGACAACCGGGTTTTGCCACGCTGGTCGACGTCACGTGGCGGGAACACCGCGGCGATGCTGCCCATATCTGACTGTATCAGCACCATTAGATATCTTCAATAACACTAATCACTTGCTGTGGTCCTGCTGCTCGTCGGCAAATAAAGCCTCGTTCTTGAGCGAAATACTCCGAGTCATGTTGCTCACTTTGTAGATCCCCACGAGTTGCTGCGCTAGCTCGAACATGTTATTCCGCAACGAGATCACAATGAACTGGGCGTTTCTCGTCCGCTCCTTGATGTAGTTCGCGACGATCGACACGTTCCTGAAATCCAATGCGGCGTCGATCTCATCCATCACGTAGAGCGGCGTGGGTTTGTACTTGTGCAACGCAAACACCAATGCGAGCGAACTCAACGTCTTCTCTCCTCCTGACAAGTTGGAGATGTTCTTCCACGATTTTTTGGGTGGCATGACACTGAACAAGATGCCCTCCGAAAACGGATCCAAGCTGTCCACTAACTCGAGCTCGGCATTGCCCCCCATGGTGATCATCTGGTACATCTCTTTCAACGATAGGGAGATCGTGTTAAAGCCTTCCATGAACTCGTCTAGCCGTTTTCTCTTGAGCTCTTCGCAGTGGTTCTTGATTCCATCTCTCTGCTCGACGGATTCGTTGAGCTCCTCTCTGCGTGTGTCGAGCTCCTTCCTCTTCAAGCCGTACTCCTTTAGAATCTCAACATCCACCTTTACCTCACTCATATAAGTCTCGAGATCCTTGATTTCGTCCTCCACTTCGTTCAAATTGACTGTCATAATTTCCTCCTCTGTAAGCTCGCGAACGTCAGACTTGTCAAACTCGGCCCGTTCTTCGTCATTCATCCACTCCAAGTAAGGGTTCGTGTCTCTCACCACGGTATCTGCAAGGGAAGCTTCTGCTTCTTCAATTAGTTTCTGGCATCGGCGCTGCGCAGTTTGAACCTTTTCAAGCTGATTTCTCAACTCAATCTCTTCGGATTTATACTCGTTCATTTCGGCGGTGAGCTCTTCGAGATGGAGCTCGAGCTTTTCGACCAGCGACTCTTTTTCGTTGATCAGCTCTTGAATTTTCTTGGCTTGCTCGTCGAGCTCCTCGCGCTCCCGCTTGTTCTCGGCTAGCTCCAGCTCAATGGTCGCACAATCTTCATCTACCCGAGCCAACTCGGCCTCGCTTTCAGACACGATTTTGGTATGGCGCTTGATCTCATTCTCGAGCTTCTTCAATGCAATGAGGTCCGCCGAGGACTTCTCCTGGACGATCTCGATCTGTTGTTTGATCGAGTCGATCTTCGAATTTTGGGCCTTCAATTCGATTCCTCCCGCTTCCATGATCTTCTCCTCGAGGAGGGCTATGCGGCTTTCTGAATCCAACATTTGCTGCTTGAGGTGCTCCTTTGACTCGATGATTTTGTCGAGCTCGATTTGTTTGGCCTCGATCGCAGTGTCCACTTCCGAAGAGGCTGAGGTGCTCTCCTTCTCTGCAAGCAACAGCTTGATGGTCTTGGAGACTTCCTTGCCCTCGTTCACGAGCGAGGTGATATCCAATTGAGCCGTCTGGATCGCGAACTCGGTATCGGGCTTTAAGTCCCTCAACTTTCTCAAGTTCACCTCCATCTCGTGCAATTGCACGTCCAACGCCTGGACCTCGCTCTCCATGGCCTGGAGCTCGCTCCGCATGGCAGCGACGTCGTCCTCGGAGAACTCCGTATCCTGCGTGGCGGCATTGGACCTCAATTTCATGCCGCCTCGCGCACTGCTGTTTCCACCGCCAGACATGGTGCCGGAGGTGTCGACCACCTTGCCGTCTACGGTCACCACCTTGTATCTTGTTGGGCCGTAGGCAACGCTCTTGGCCTCCTGGAGATTGGTGGCGACGAGGGTATCGCGCAACTTGCTGTAGAATGCCGGGAGGAACTTCGGGTCCTGCGGGGTGATCAAGTCGAAGATCCTCTTGACGGACATGGCGCTGCCCGGGGTCCGAATCGGGGCCATGTTGAAGTTCTGGAGCTTGTTCAAACAGATGAAGTTGGCGTAGCCCAACCTGTTTTTGCGGAGGTAGTCGATGCATGCCTGGGCCGTTTCGACGGTGTCCACGACCATCGAGTCCAAAGCCGGGCAGGCGGTGGACACCGCCACGTCGTACTTGTCGTCGATGATGCCTAGATCGCCGAGGCGGCCGTGGAAGCCGCTGATTCTGCCCGACCGGGAGAGCTTGGTCAAGCTGACGAGCACGGCGTTCTTGTTCTGCACGCTGGCCAAGCGAGCGCCCGCGTCCAGGGTCTTCAGCCGGGCGGACGCCAAGCGCACGCGCTTGCCCTCCAAGGCTTTCTTGAGGCCGCCGCTCTGCTCCTCCCCGAGAGCGATCTGCTCGTTGATGTGCGCGAGCTTCCGGGCGAGCGAGTCCAAGTGCGCCTCCTTGGCCTTGCCGTCGGCCTTGATGCCGACCAACCGGCGGGACTCGTCCTTCAAGCGCACGTCGAGCTCCCTCGCCTGGGCCTGCAACATGCTGATTTCGGACTGCACGAGCTCCAGCGCTCGGTCCTGCGCCTTCAAGCGGTCGTTGAACGGCTCGAGCTCCGTCTGGAGCCGCAGGATCTCCGCGGAGAAGTGGGACGTCTTGTCGGTGAGGCTCAGCCGGAGCAGGCGGAGGGTGGCCTTCTCGGCCAGGAGAGACAGCTCGAGCGCACGCGCCTCCGCCGTGAGCCGCGCGCTCTCGGCAGACACCGTGGCAACACGCAGCGCCGACGCCGCGAGCGCGGCCTCGGAGGCCGCCTGGGTCTTGCGGATCTTCTTGCCCTTGCCCGCGACGGCGCGGCGCTTCTCCTCGAGCGACACGCCGCGGCTGCTGGCGGCCTTCAGCTGCTTGAGCCGCCGCGCCACGTCCGAGCGGAGCGCGGCGAGGCCCGCCGCGAGCGCGGTCTTCAGGCGCTGCGCCGCGTCGAGGGCGTCGCGCACGCCCCTGTTCTTGAGCCGCTCCGTGTCCAACTGCGCCGCGAGCTCCCGCGCCGAGGCGGTGCTGGCGGCAAGCGTGCGGCGGTGGGCGAGGATGGCGGCGTGGAAGCGCACGCCGCGCTTGGCGGCGAGCGCGGCCTCCGCGGCCAAGAAGCGGAGCGCCTCGGCCGTGCGGTCCTCCATGGCGCCGGTGTCGGACTCGACCAACTGGAAGCGGTGCTCCTTCTCCAAGCACGTCTCGTTCAAGGCGTCGATGCGCGCGGCGCTGGCCTCGATCAACGGCTTGTAGCGGCTGGTGCCCACGATGTCCTCCAAGTACTCGAGGAGCCCGTCGTCGTGGTCGCGCTCGGCCTTGGGCTTCATCTGCGCAATCAGCTCGACCTCGCCCTGCAAAATCAAGAAGCGCTTGTGGTCGAGGTCGATGCCCTGGCCGCGGAGGTACGCCGTGACGTCCGTGTACGTGCTGGCGCGCCCGTCCACGTAGTACTGCGAGCCGTTGGAGCGGAACGCGCGGCGGCTGATGACGAGCTCGCGGCCCACCGGCGCCAGGCGCCCGGGCACGTGCGGGTCGTCGAGCACGTGCACGAAGTGGATGTCCACCTGGCAGTGCTGGATGGCCAGCCCCGCGGCGGAGTTGTGGATGAGCTCCAGCAACCGGCCCTGGCGCATCTTCAGCGCGCGGAAGCCAAACACAAACAACATGGCGTCGATCACGTTGGACTTGCCGCTGCCGTTGGGGCCCACCACGGCCGAGAACGACGCGTGGAAGGGGCCGATTTCCTGCACGCCCGCGTACGACTTGAAGTCCGTGAGCACCAACTTGCCGATCACGAGCCGCGGCTCCGCGCGCCGCGCGTCTGGCGAGAGCAACGACTCGCGCTGGCGCCGCTTGGACGGCGACAGGATGGACACCTGCTGCTGCAGGAAGCTGGGCTGGGAGGGGGGCTCGGTCCGGAGCGCGGGCGTGGATGCCCGCTGGAGCACGGGCTGCGGCGCGGGGGGCGCTGTGTGTGATGTTTGCGGCGATGTGTGCGGCAATGCTAGTGATGTTTGCGGCGATGTTTGCCGCGATGTTTGTGACATTTGCGCCCCTGTTTGTGGCATTGGCGGCGCCGTTTGCGGCGATCTTTGCGGCGGTATTTGCAGCGATCTTTGCAGCAATCTTTGCGGCGGTATTTGCAGCGCCCCTGGCGGCCGCGGGCCGCCCAGGCCCGGCGCCTCGTGGCGTGCTTCCGCCGGCTGGGAATCCGGCGCGTCTTCGAAAACCAGCGAGCTGGAGGAGCCCGGCAGGCCCGGCTCCGGGGGCAGCCGGGACGGCAGCCGTGCCGCGGCGCCGTTCGGCGTGTGCGGCGCCCCTTTCTCGGGCGTCAGGCTCGTAACAGCCGCCCGGAAAGAAGCGTGGCGGGAACCGTCGGTATTTGCGGCGCCCGGCGCGGCATTTTCGCCGGGGAAATCGGGCTGGCCGTGTGCCGGCGCCGGGCCCGGCCCGGGCAGCGCGGCCGCGTCGCTGTAGTCGCTGTTGTTGACGAAGGAGAGGTCGAAACCAGTGTCCTGGGCATCGTCGGGGCCGCCGATGGGGAGGCTCTTCTTGGTCCTGGCCATGTGCGCGGCGGTGTCGGCGCGGACAGAACGGATGGGGGAAGTGGGGCCGGCGATATCGGCAGCGGGGTTTTGCGGGGCAAAAGGCCGTGTTGCGACGGCGGTTGCGCGTGCTGGTGTTGTATTTGGGTGGGTTTCAAGACATGGAGCGTTCTTCTGGAGAAAGCCTGGGGACGCGCTGCTGTGTGCAGGCCCGCAACCTGGAGGCCGGGCAGAGACGAGGAAAATGGACAGGATGTAGGGGAGACGAATGGGGAGACGAATGGGAAAGTCAGAGGATCAAATGTGGAGTATGGAGGACAGTATATAGGACAGGGTATAACAGATTATGGGGACATAATACAGAGGACAGAATATGAGGATATAATTCAGAGGACAGAGTATAGACAGAGTATAGACAGAGTATAGACAGAATATGAGGACATAATACAGAGGACAGAGTATAGACAGAGTATAGACAGAGTATAGACAGAGTATAGACAGAGTATAGACAGAGTATAACAGATTATGGGGACATAATACAGAGGACAGAATATGAGGATATAATTCAGAGGACAGAGTATAGACAGAGTATAGACAGAGTATAGACAGGGTATAACAGATTATGGGGACATAATACAGAGGACATAATATGAGGATATAATTCAGAGGACAGAGTATAGACAGAGTATAACAGAGTATCAGGACAGAATACAGAGGACATAATATGAGGATATAATTCAGAGGACAGAGTATAGACAGAGTATAGACAGAGTATAGACAGAGTATAGACAGGGTATAACAGAGTATGAGGACAGAATACAGAGGACAGAGTATAACAAAATATGGGGACAGAATACATAGGACAGAGTATAGACAGAGTATAGACAGAATATGAGGATATAATTCAGAGGACAGAGTATAGA